GGGGGGGGCAGCCCGCAGCAGAAACCGCCGGGAAAGAGAGCGGGCCTGTGCTTTAGTCTGAACGCTTTTGTACACCTTCAATCTCCGAAGGAAACATTAATAATTGTGGTGCAAGCCTGTGATAAAATAGCACAAAGGTTCTTCAAAGAAGTCCACTTTTAAGGCATCAGAGAAGTTAATGTGGCAAACATTTTGAATTAAAACGTCAGAAGTGAATTTTATTTTAAACTTTGAGGCCGCTGAAAGTTTCCCATACACACAGCTCAGCTTGGTGGTGAGTCATGGGTGTGGCGGCTAACACGACTTTTTACACGCTACAAAAATAAAACGAAACTCGGACACAGCCCCAAACGGAGTGGTCCTCCTTGAGGCCCGTCCACATGCAGGGTCTCCCGGAACTGTTTTGTTCTGACGACACAACGAACATTTTTTATTTTTCCAAAATCATTTGTTCAGATAACTTAAAAAATAATATAAAAATAAACAATGGATTTGACTTTCCTCAAAATAAAAAATGGGGGGGGGGGCAGGCAAGAGGAAGGAGAGAAAGAAAAGGGTGTAGGCTTTAAACAATAACAAACGTCCCAAGTACAAACGGGATGGAAAGACAAAGGTTCGCTTTAACCAAACATAAAAAAGAGACAGTTCTTGGCTTGATGGGCTTCTTGGCATCACAACACCGGGCGATGGACCAAACACCAGTACAGACGAGAATATAAAGCAAAAACAAAAAAGAAAGCAATGTACAAAATCTCAAAGATAAATACATTATTTATAGTTGATATGTTACAAAATAAAGTTCCTTAGCAACTGCAAGTGCTCATGGGAAAGTAATGGAGCCCCTTTTACTCCTTAGAGGGCACATAAGGAGTAAAACGGTTCTTCTAAATAGTTAAGTGAATCTGAAAAAAATTCAAGACAAGTGTATAAATATTTAGCTACAACTTTGGCAAAATCACAAAAGTCTACAATTTTATAACCACGTACAAAACACATTGGGCAGGAGGGTCTAAAAAGACAACTTTCTGGGACAGAAACATAGACTCACAGCAGCCTACGAATGCAATAGTATACAGTGCTAGCAAAAGTTGAAAAAATGTTGCAGTCCACGCTGTTCAACGGAAAGCTCTAGCAGTGGGAGAATAGTTTAACCAACAGACAGTAGCTTGGTTTTGTTTTTTTTCTGTCAGTGTGCTTGTTGAAGGCAAGAGAATTCAATATCAAAGTACAATTTCTAACTACAATAAGTTACAAAGTCTCATTTCATTAAGATGAAGTTAAGCAATGGTAAACCCTCCCTCCCACCCTGCCATCCCCCGGTTCTCCTAATCATATAAGACCATCCTTTTTTTTGTTGTTTTTGTGTGTTTTTTTCCAGTCTGATGGGTCATATACCTCCTTGGCCCCTTTTTCACCACAAAAAAAATATTTCACATTATAGAGATACACAACCATTGTGAATCTAAGGATGAGTACGGAAAAACGTCTGGAAGCATTTTCCCCAGTGTTTCATGAGAATCAAGTGGTGCATTCACAACGCTTCTCCCAACACATAGCAAGTACTAGACGAGACAGAGCCAGAAACTTTATACAAAATAGGCGCCGCTTTGTTCTCCTCCGCCGCCGCCCGCCAGGACCGAGAGATGTGAACGTGTGGGAAGAGTTCAGTCGGGAAAATGGAATTGCTCGTGAGCAGTCAGTCTGTCCGCAGGTCGGTGGGGAGCACTTTAAATAAAATCTTTAAACAGAGTCTCTGTGGCATCGAGATTGCTGCTGAGTTGAAGACACTGTCCATCCCGCATGTCTTAATGTCCTAGGCGTGTCCCCGAAGCCCGTCTTCGCGTGACTGGTGCTACGGCAGGTAAACACAAGTGGCCTCACATTGGTGGGACTACCAGCCCAGACATAGCTGAAAGAGACGGGGGAGGGCATTAGTCCCGGGCCACCCAGCCCCCCACCTGCCCCAGGGCAGGCCGGGCACAGCCTTCCTTTGGGTGGGACTCAACAGTGGGCGTGCTGCGCGCCCCTTTCTGCAGCGCAGAATCCACCTCCCGGGATGGGGTGCCCGTGGGAGCCAGAGCCACCCCAGACCGCTCAACTGGGCAAGGCTGCCGGGAGGTGTGCATGTTTGTGTGTGCGTGCATCTGGGAGCACACGTGTGTGCATGAGCGTAAGCACGCCTGTGCGCATGGGAATGTGGGTACATATGTATGTGCGTGTGTGTTTGTGTGCGTGCACGTGAGTATAGATACCAGTTTCAGCTTCCCACCCGTCTCTGCATTTTGGTCCGAGTACACAGATCCCTGGGGCCACCTCTGAGGACAGACGAGAACCAGTTGGCCACCCTGTGACCACCCAGGCCCCGACCTCGCTCCCCCAAGGGAAAGCCTGTTTCCTCCTCTGGGGGTGGGGGTGGGTGGGGAAGGACGGCTGTCAGTAAGACCACCTGCACTGGCCTCTCGGGGCAGAGGGCAGGCAGACCCTCAGGTTGCCCCTCTGCGCAGGGCCCTGCGAGTCTCCGCGTCCGAGGACGGAGCGGAGCGGACCCTCAAACCCCCCGTGCTGGGCCTGGCTGGCACGCCATTGAAAAGCTTTCATTTTGGTGGTGTTTAATTTTTGTCAGAAGGATCAGTCTTCTCGTTAATTTATGGGTAACATATTAATGACATGTGCTCGTGTCGTGAGGAGGGTTTCAATTTCTCAGTTCATTAATCTCAGCGATATTAATTCATCTCAGACTCACCGTCACGTCACGGTTTACAAGGCCCGCACGCAGTGCTGAGGGCGTGCCAGCTGAACACGGGGCTGACCGCAGAGGACGCCGCGCGCAGGGCCATGGCGGCGGTGACCACCGCTTGGGGCCGGGACCCGGGCGCCCGCTCGCACTAGCAGGTGTAACAAGGCAAGGATCGAACCCCCGGTACCTCTCTAGGTCCTTTTTTGAGCATTACTTCATCAAAGTGAACCAGGCCACCGACTTCACCATAGGGCCCCTTTGGCATCGCCACGACTGAGTCCGCAGCCCCCGGCCGAGAGCCTGCGCACAGCAGGTGCCCAGTAAGTGCCAGTGGAAGCTGCCAGGCTTCCGGGAGGCAGTGGGCTGGATCTGGGGGGTGGGAGGGAGGGATCGGGGAGCTCCTGGGCGAGGCACACTGTTAACGCGTTCAGCCAATAATCAAAAGGCTGCAGGTGCCTCAGAAGAAAGCCTAGTGACTTGCTTCTGCGAGGCAGCCAGGGTGCCAAGGGCCAGGGTGACTCAGTGGCAAGGGGTTGGCTTGGACTATCCCCTGAGAGGGGCCAGGCGATGACCCCTTAGTGGGGTCCTTGCATGGGTGGTGCTCTGGGTACCTCCCTCTCCCCAGGGCCAGCCCTCTGCCTCCTTCTGAACCTTGGGGAGCTGACACAGGAAGAGCCGCCTTGCCCCCGGGAGACCTGCGGGCAGCGCAGTGTGTGTATGCCTAGCCCCAAGTCTGGCACACACCCCGACGTGCTAGCCCATCCTACTCTGGCCCGTGGTTCAAGGCCACGGAGAACGAGCCACCACAGGTCCCTGAGAGAGTGCTCAGGCTCTGGTGGGTCAGTGACCACCGCCCTGTCTGGAGTCCCCCAGCCAAGCGGGACTGCAGCCCCCATTCTGCATGCCCCACCCACTCCTGCTCCCACCGGGCCTCCCCCAGAATGAGGACTCTCCACGGTGAGGACACAGTGGTCACAGAGGGAAGGTGGGAACCGGGTCTCCGGACGTGGCGCCTGGCACTTGTGGGGCTGAAGGTAGGCGTGGTGTGACCACGGCCGGGTGTCATGTGGGCAAAGGGGACATGCAGCAACAGAGGACCCGCTCCCCGCCTCCTCTGCCCGCCCTCCCAGCCAGCCTCTGGGACCCGAGGGGACTACGCTGGGCCCTCACCTTGGAGCCCGTTCCCGTTGGCGCTGGTGCAGGAAGGAGGAGGGGAGGCCTGGGGCCGGACCACGGGCGCGAAGGCGCTCTTTTGTTTCACTGCGGAGATGACATTGGCAGGTGAGAATGAGAAAATGCCGTGCGTACCGCTACAGTTTGAAGGGAGGGTGACGGAAGACGCTGCCATGGTCATGGTGGGGCTGGACGGGACTACTGTAACAAAGCAAACATGGTCAGGACGCGCCGCACGCACCGCCGAAGGGCACACGACAACCACCACACGTGCCTGGGGGGCCACTCTCTGGATAAGAGGTGAACTCATGGGGGGGGGGGCTTCGTTTCCAATTGAGCAGCCCAATTGGGTTTCAGGATTTTGGGGGTAGTGGTAAAGGGGTTGGTTTTCGCCGTGGCCACATAGGGGCCAAGCCTGGCCAATTGTCGAGCACCGTGGGGGCGCATGCCCGGCCCCCAGAGTCCCCTCCTTTATCCAGTAGCTCAAATCACAGGGCATCCAAGCAACGCACACACTTGACTTTGCCGTGAATATGAATCTGCGTGATGACGTGTGACAAAAACAGACACTTACTGCCGTAGGGAGAGTTAGCAGAGGAGCCGTTAAGAAATCCAGGTGAGCCAGGGACCCCTAGATTGGCCATGGTGCCACTTCCATATCCGTTCATGCTAGTGCTGACTGTGTTGTAATTAGACTGCTGGGGGGTGCTGCTGGGGACGTAGCCTCGCGGGGACACGCTGCTTGTATTGCGACTGTAGCCGACTGTTGAAATCCCCCCGCCCCCCGGCCAAAAATAACGTTATTATCAGCGAGAGACACTTGGGGGGAGGGGTCCCCGCAAATCTACACCATATAGTACACATTGTTCATTGACCTCAGGCGTGGCTCCAGCCCTAGGCAACTAAGACGACCTGATCATGACAACCCGCTGGCCAGGGTCAGCTCCAAGGACCAACCTGAGCAGAGGGCTGTCTCCCATTACCCACTCTGGGGCTTCTCCTCAGGAGCTGTGACCAACAGCTTGGGCCCTGAGCCTGCCCCGCCACCGTCCAATGCCATGGCTGACAGGGAGGGCTTGTGGGGACAGTCACCGCCTCGGAAAAGGCCGTGCTGGGGCCCTCCGTATCACGGTGGCTATCTCTGTAAGGAGGGGGCTTCATTTGTGGCGCGGGCCAAGTGGAAGGGACAACACCTGACGGTTGGAGTGTTGGTGAAGTCACTGCCTGCACGGCTCACAGAGGGGACACTGGCTGGACCCGGCGACGAGCACCAGAAGGAAGGGCAGGTGGGGAACACGCTGCGGAACCTTCTGCTCCACGTATGATGTCCAGGCTTATATTCCCAAGTCCCACAGGCAACAAACCCGAGAGAAGGCTCCCCACAGCGTCCTGGTGTCACACTAAATCTACGGCCGATCCCAGCCTTTCCAGGAGAGCAGAGTCACTTCTACGTAAAGTACGGGGAGGCAAATGTCATCCACAGAGGGGCAGCCAGTGCTGCTGCTATGATTAGTCACTGGACCCTGAGCAGTCTCTGCCCGGCCCTCACTTGGAGGCTCTCGCATGTGGGCCTCCCTGAGGTGAGCAAAGGGGCAGAGAGGGGAACCCCACCACTGTTCCCGGGCTGCCCTTGCCCCAAGCCCCACTTCAGCTATGGCCTTACCAGCACAGAGAGGGGACTACAGAGGGGGCCCCCACCTACCTTGGTCGTTGGCTTGCGATGTCTCGGAGACATTGACGGCGAGCTGGCTGCTGAAGGAGTTCACACCCATCATGCCAGTGTGGGCGGGCGTGTTGCCCAAGGTGGGGATCTGGTTGTGGTTGCGGGGGACACTGTACAACGCTTCCGCGATGTCCGCCGCTCGCTTCAGGATGATCTCCTAGAACCCGGGGCAGGACGCCAGCTCTCAGGAAGCTGTCCCCCAACTGGCCACTGGCCTACCATTCTAGGACCTTGTGGGGGCCTCCCACTCAGCTCACCCAAATCCCACTCCTGTCTCCTCCACCTCACAGCAGGCCTAGTCAAAGAACACGCAACCTCGCTGCCGTCAGCTGAACCTTGGCGGGCCTTGTGTTGGACTGCTCGGCAAGCTCAGCAGGTCAAATCCACCAATCGCTCCACAGCAGACAGATGAGGCTTTCCACTCCCGTAAAGACGGTCTCAGAAACCCAGAGGAGCAGTTCTACCCTGTCCTAGAGGGTTGTCATGCAACCTTACAGGAGGTCAGTGCTGCCCCCACGTCCCCCTGGGGAGCAGCTGGTAAGTTTGAACCGCCATGCTTCTGGTGTGCAGCCACGTGCCTGACCACTGCACCCCCAGGTATCCTCCACCGGCCTCAGCTCCCGGGGAGAACGGCAGCATGCCTGAGAACATTCATCTTTCCATGGTCGAGCACCTCCGCGAGGCACACGACCCGAAGATGCTTCTAGCCCCGCCAACCTCTATTCCATGCTGTACAGGCCCTGCGGCCCAGTCTGTCCCTGAGTCGGGGCAGAGCAGAGGTGTCCTCATCCCCTGCTTGCCCCGTAACACCCAACCCAGCCATGACTCCTGCAGCATAGCTAACCTCCGCCGTCACACTTCCCTGCCCAAACTGCTGTGAGTTCAAACTCCGGCTGGTCCCAGAGACGGCGGTGGCTGGTGCTCCCTTGCCGTTTTCCACAGAGCACTCAGGGGCTGTGGGCCGACAGCCTGTCTGTAGGAGCGTGCAAAAGCCCTGCTGTGCCCACTACCCAGGGCTGTGGCCCACCTGTCTGCAGGGGACGTGGCTGCGGGAAGCTCGCTGTCACCCACCTGGTTGTTGTGAGGCATCCCATATAAGGCTTCCACCAGGTCCGCTGCCCTCTTCAGTAACACTTCCTGTAGGGAAACACAGTGACTCCTCAGTGGGCACCACTGTGCTGGCCCCTGCGATTTGTGGACAATGACCCCAGCCCAGCAGCAGAGGGCAGGCACCTATGTGGCCTGAGGGCCACTCACATGGCCATCACATGGCCTCTGCACCGGCCCCTGCATGGCACAGACTGGTAAGAGGCTCTAGAA